ACCTACCGTTTTCTTTCGAATGATCATCTAATCTCCTGCATCTAATAAAAATATAATAAGGAATTCACTATCAAGAAAATGATCTTTTCCCCTGAACTCAGGGCAGTTCCTAAAACTCAAGTTCAGTTTAGTTCAGTTCAGTTCAGTCGCTCAGTCATGTCTGACTCTTTGCGACCCCATGAACCACAGTCGCCAGGCCTCCCTGTCCATCAAAAACTCCCTGAGTCCACCCAAACCAATGTCCATTGTGTCGGTGATGCCATCCAACCATCTCATTCTCTGTCGTCCCCTTCTCCTCCTGCCCTCAATCTTTACCAGCATCAGAGTCTTTTCAAATGAGTCAGTTCTCCACATCAAGTGGCCAAAGTATTGGAGTTTCAACTTCACCATCAGCCCCTCCAATGAACACCCAGGACTGATCTCCTTTAGGATGGACTGGTTGGATCCTTGCAGTCCAAGGGACTCTCAAGAGTCTTCTCCAACACCACAGTTCAAAAGCATCAATTCTTCTGCGCTCAGCCATCTTTATAGTCCAACTCTCACATCCATACATGACTACTGGAAAAACCATAGCCTTGACTAGGTGGACCTTTGTTGGCAAAGTAATGTCTCTGGTTTTATAGGAAACTCGAGTGTCTTTCCATAACTTGAAGTTTCCTTCCTGAATATAGGACTTGGGTGTCAGACCCCACGTGCTTGGATTCTGAATCATCCCCGCCTCCTCCTTTCCTGGCTCCGCCCTGGGATCATCATTCAGGTTTAGTCCAGCCGCTCAGACCAGCGCACAGACAGGCTGCAGCTGCGGGCGTGGAGGAGCTGGTTACCTGGTCCTAGGTGAGAGCTGGAGGGGCGGGGGCTGAGGGTCCTGGTGTGGGACTGCACTCAAATAGGGGCTGGGTTGATGGAGATGTAGCGCTGAGCTCCCGGGAAACGTGATGAGGAAAGGTTTTGAGGGGGTGAGGTTCCTTCCGGATACTATAGACCCCTGGCTAGCTCCCTCCCAGAAAGAACACACTTGCCCTTCCCACTAAGTCTCCTGGTCGCACTGGGCATTCGGTGATGATGCCAGGTCACCCGGCAGGAGGCTCCCCCTCTCACACAGTGAGGGATCGCTGCTCTCAGAGCACAGGCTTAGGTGGCACTCTTCCTTTGGTTCCCTACGGGGGTGAATCCTCCATGTGATCTTGAGGACACCTGCCTGTTCCAGGCTTGGGGGCCAGTGGGCAGGCCTCCCTCGGAAGGTATTCCTCAGCCTGGGGAGACATGGCCTGCCTCTCCGTCAATGGGACACCAAGGCCCATGTTCGATAGGAAACAGGGGAACCAAAGGCTGTTCCGAGGTCAGTGGAAGCAGCAGAGTGGCTGGGGCCCAAGGGGAGATCTTGAGGAGACTGGAAATGCTGGGGGTCCTGCCCAAGGCTTCCTCCAGGACAGATCAGTGGCCGGAGAAGAGCACACAAGATGAATCTCCTGCCTGCTCAGACAGGCTCAGGGTAGGACACCTGAGGCAAGGGTCTCCCTCCAGGCAGCCCCGAGGGCTCTGGCTAGGGGCCAGGAGTCACTGTCCACCACCAGCAAGGATGCCTTTGGGCCCTATGGGTCACTGGGCACCATTCTGTGTATGAGAAACTTCCAATTTAAGAAGTTATTTTGTAAAAAATACTCAGGAAAAGAATTGAGCAGATTTTACCTGAAGTGCCAGGGAAAACCCCAGCACAGGAAGTTGCAACACCTCTTTCTGGAGCCTTCCATCACATGAGGTTCTCAGCAGCAAGTAATAGTGATGAGCTATTTAAGCCCCATCCTGGCAATTGCTGAAAGGCAGCTACTGGATTGTGTCCACCTGTGAAATCTCAGCCTCTCTTGCATTATGCTGAGCAGGTTGGGATAGGATCAGGGCAGCTGTCTCTCTTCAGTCAATCACCAAATTCTTGGTTCTTAAAAAAAAAAAGAAATAAATTGATTAAAACTGTGTTAATGTTCTTCTGCAAACCGAATGTCAAAGGAAAGATAAACAGCCATAGAGAGAACCTGCCTTCCCAGGGGTGAAAACGCACAATGGGCAGCATAGTAATTGTACCATGTGGCTTGGCAGGGCCTGAATAGCCCCACATGGTGGGGGTGCCTTGGCCAGGGGGACAGGGAGCTTCACTCTTCAGTGCCCCAGGCACCACTTGTCCTCCTGGAAAGGAAGCAAAATTAGATCTGTGACATGCCGCTTGCAAACAGACCTTGAGGAATATTCAAGATTTGAGCATAAAAATAGACCAAACTTGACCACGATGGATATGCCACCATCTGGGAAGCCTTTTAAAAAGGATACTTTAAACAAACAAACAAAAACTACTTTAAAAGAAAACCCTGAAGCCTTCAAGGAAAAGACAGACAGGACAACATAAACACTTGGAGTCTTTATCCAGACGATCCAGGGAGAAATGGTGATGGAAATGTACTTATCCTGGAAGGCAGTTTGTTTCTTTAAGGGGTGAGTCTTATAAACCTGTAAGGAGAAGACAAACAGTCCCAGGAGGATGAGTGAAGGGTTTGCAAAGGCAGTGACAATGTGGAAACGCGAGGAACAGAACCAGGATGAGCTGGTCAGCCCTCCACAGCACAGGAGTCACCAGGAAGAGGCGGAGCTGGGAGCCAAGGGGCCCGGGCTGCTCACAAGCTAAGACAAAGGGAATCCTTGCAGCCACTGAAGTCAAGGTTTCAGGATCCGGGGAGGCAGACCTCACCAGCAACACACTACAAAGTGAGAACCAGACGCAGAGAAATGGACGGAACACGACCGCAGAACACTCCCTCCAGTGTCTGGGGTTTGTGCCTGATCATTCCAGTGAGGGGAAAGCTGAGGTCTGGGGAAAGAGGGAGGGGACAGTGTGAGTGTCCTGGGGCAGCCGTGACCAAGGACCACAAACAAGGGATCAAAAGAAGCAAAGTTTGCCCTCCTCCAGTTTGGAGGCTGGATTCCAAAATCAAGGTGTCAGCACAGCTGCAGGGAAATATCCTTCCTTGTCTCTTCCAGCTTCTGGTGGCTCTGGTGTCCCTTGGCTTGTGGCCACATCCCTCCAGTCTGTGCCTCTGTCAGCTCCTGGCCTCTCCCTGTGTCTCTTTCTTACAAATTTCTCTCTTATAAGAAAGCCAGTCACATTAGATTGGGGCCCACGCTGCTCTAATATGACCTCCTCTTTCTTTATGACTGCAAAGGCTTTGTTTCCGAGTAAGGTCACCTTCACAGCTTCTGGGTGGATGTGTGTTTTGGAGCCACCTTGCAGCCTTCCCTGATGGCTCAGTGGTAAAGAATCTGCCTGCTGATGCAGGAGATGCGAGTTCTATCCCTGAGTCGGGAAGATCCCCTAGAGAAGGAAATGGCAACCCACTCCAATATTCTTGCAAGGGAAAATCCACGGACAGAAGGGCCTGGTGGGCTATAGTACATGGGATTTCAAAGAGTCAGACCTGTCTTAGCGACTAATAAACAACAACATTCACCCTAGTACATACAGTACAGAGGGAGAGAAGAGAGAATCAAGTAATGGGTTGTCTAACCTGATTCCACATATGTAAAAGCAGATACATGTGTGTGCACAAGAACACGTGTCTCTCAGGTGACTTCTTTCTTCTTCAACTACAGATGTTGTACATATGTGAGAAAAGAAGGCTGTCCTTCTGACGATAAATTAGGAATAGAAGCAAGTCTAGAAAATCAAGGGAAGCGGGACACAGCAGCACCTATGGCAGGGGTCTGGGGGCTGAGATTGTCCCTCCCCATTTCATTCTCCTTGTTTGACCCAGAGTGTCCTGGAGTCAGGACTGGGGCTGGTCACCAATGGCCCCCAGCTCCTGGAAGTGATTACATCCACAGTTCCCTTTGCTTCAGGCCCTTCTGCCCAATTACCCCTGAAGTGGGGACAAAAAAAATCAGAGACATTGAATTCAAAACCAAAGGGTACCAACTCCATGGCATTCTGGAAAAGGCAAAACTCTGGACACACTAAAAAGATCAATGGTTTTCAGTAGTTGGGGGGAAGGAGGGATGAATAGATGGAACGCAGAAGATTTTTCAGGCAGTGAAGCTACTTTTTGTTGTTGTTCAGTTGCTAAGTCTCATCTGATTCTTTGTAACCCCATGGATTGTAACCCGCCAGACACCTCTGTCCTCCACTATCTCCTGAGTTTGCTCAAATTCATGTCCATTGAGTTGGTGATAAGATCTAACCACCTCATCCTCTGTGTAGTACCTAATGGAGGATACATGTCATTATGAAAAGTGAAAGTGTGAGTTGCTCAGTCATGTCTAAGTCTGTCCATGGAATTTCCCAGGAAAGACTATTGGAGTTGGTTGCCATGTCCTACTCCAGAGGATCTTCCTGACCCAGGGATTGAACCCTCATCTCTTGTGTGTCCTGCATTGGCAGGCAGGTTCTTTACCACTGCACCATCTGGGAAGCCCAAATGTCAGTTTTACTGGATGCCAAAGCCTGAGATGAGTATTTGTTTCAGAGGAAGTGAAAGTTAGCTTCTGGACTGTAACTCACGAGTTCCACAGGAAGACTCTTTTTGTTGTTAAAAGCAAATCTGGAGAGTGGAGCAAGTGTCCCCAAATGCCAAGCCTCAAAATGCAAGAGTGGAAGAGGGGCTGGGAGCATCCAAGGTGGTTTTGGGTTGGTGTCAGGTTTAAGGGGCTACATGAGATTCTGTGTCCCGACCCGTCTCTACAGGACACATGGCTCAGGGAGTTTTGCATGTTTTTTATAAAATTCAAGATATCCCCAGCAATATAAATGGACTTGTCTCCCAGGGACTTGTTTCCTGTCTCATCTGTGTTTCTCACCTGTCTGACAGTGGTCCCACTGCAGACATTATAAAGGTGTAGAGAAGGGTCAGGTCACAGTGGTCAGGGAGGAGCTTGGGGACTCTGGCAAGGGTGCAGCCCCTCTCACTGGCTTCCGAAGGAGCCTAAGGGATCTCTGACTCATCAGCTTTCCTTCCTCCAAGGGGTGTCCCAAAAACCAGTAAGGAGGACAAGGCATCCCTTAAAACTTCTCCTGGTCCTGCTGGCCATGCTGACCTCAGCATCCACTCTCCTCACTCCCAGGATGCTCTGGGTCCTCTTGCTCTTGGCCACCTTCAGGAGTGCTCAGAGTGGAAGTAAGTTGTATAGTCCCAACTCTGCCGGGGGTTGGGGGAGGCAGCAGGGGCAAGCCGGGTGTGGGAGGAGAGACCTAGATCAGGCCAGGAGGGACCCAGGCTCCAGGTAGTGCCAGTGACCCCAGGAAGGGCAGTCAGTGGATGTCCTGAGGTCCAGCCATGATCCACATGTGTGACTGTCCCCCACACAGACTGGGATCACCCCAACTGCACCAGGGGTGTGGTTTCTGTGTTGCGGGGCAAGCCAGCCACGATGACCTGCAGCATCTCCAATGCCTTCTCCCACATCAACATCTCCCTGCAAACGAACCCCATGGCACCCTGGAAGCTCATCTTCAGTGTAAAGGCCCCAGGAAACTTTAGCCAGGATGGATGGCAGCTCTGGATTCGAGAGGGCGAGGCGCATCTGGTGATTGAAAAAGCCCAGGAAACCCAGGCAGGGCTGTACAAGTGGAATCTGAAGGGGCGCCAGAGAAATGTCGAAATCACCACCCTGAACGTCTTAGGTGAGCAGAGTGGGTTGGGGGGGGATTGACCCCCACGAGCTTCTCTGGCTGGCGGGTAGGAGTGCGGAGCAACTAGAGAGGAGTGACTCCTGCCCACCTGAGGTGCCCAGAACCACGGCGATGAGGCCTGGAGAGGACTCCCACCCTGCCCCACCCACCCCACGTCTGTGCCCCCTCTGAGCCTCTCCTCAGGGCAGCCCCGGCATGTGGGCCTGGTCACTCTCCCCGTCTGCTCAGGGGGCTGGCGCCTTCCCTCCCTGCACACCTCCTATCCCCCCACCCCCACCCCTTCCTTTGCTGCAAAGCTTCCCCAGTCACCATCCCTCCACCCACCCCCTTCGCCTGTTCTGACTCAGAGTAGTCACCCTGAGCCCTGGGGACAGGAAGTAGGGGTGCAGCTTTGCCCCGGACCAGGAACAGTGGGAGGGGCTAAGAAGGCACCAGCCAGACCCTAAGTGGGGAACGCAGTGAGGCCTTCATGAACTCCTGTATCCAGGGCTCATCTGATACCTGGGGCGGTGGGGCTGCATCAGGGCAGACCCTGGGCAGGCCCCCGCCAACCTGCCCTGTGTCTGGCAGAGCCGCAAGACCTGCTCCTCACATCTTCCGCAGGAAGGTGTTTCTATTTTCATCTTGGGGTATAGGAGGGGAGCCCCCAGAAAGCCCTCTTGGGTCTTCCCTCCTCTGACACCCTCACCCTCTGTGCCTGGAGCCCTGCCCATCCCATGCATCCATCCCCCTGCCACTCTGCCAGGCATGTGCTTCCCAACCACAGGCGATGTCCACCTCAAGGGTGTCCCCAAGGGGGTCAGGGGCTCCTGCACAGGTGAACAATGGAGGGTGGTCCTGCCCATTTTCCGCAGGTCCGCAGATGAGCATATTCCCTTTGGATGTTAATCCTGAACACAACAGCCCGACCCAGGTAATGTTCCCCATCCTCGCCCTGGTTGTTCTCTTCAGCCTGCTGATCTGCACACTGGTGTGGCTCTAAGGGTGTGGTTCCCTGAACTTCAAGCTCCAGAAGGTATTGGCCGCTGTGCCTGGTCTCTGGGCTGGGGAGAGGTGGGGTCATCTCAGACCCGGAATCGACACTCTGCCCCATGGTCTTGTTCCCACCGAGACTAGTGAGAGAGTGGGGAGCGTTTGAGGTCCCAGAGAGCCAGAACCCCTCCCCCAGAGGACCCCAGCCAGCATATGCCATCCCAGTCCCAGCATGCAGATGCCCCACGCCGGACAGGCCACTGAATTCACACTGTCCCTAGGACACCCTAGAGGATGGCATGAGGGCTTCCTGCTCCTTCCAGGAGACCTAAGATGTGTGGGTGGTGGATGTTCCTACAGGATTCACTTGCGGGGAAAGTTATCTGTGCATGGCTCTCATCAATCCCATCCTCCCTTCGTCAGGTAAGGAGGCTCTGAGCCTGGGGTGGGAGCTGTGTGCATCGTGTGCACTGGACTAAGCAGAGGGGACGTGCGGGAAGACCAAGCTGAGGACTAGGAAGCTTGGCAACTTCCTGGCTTCTTCCTGATGTACATGCCAAGGAAGGCTCCTTAGCAGGTTTTGGGGCTCAAAGTGCAAAATCTCCCGTTCCACAGCACTTGACCTAACAGGACCCTCCCCATCCTCCGCCCCACGCAGGACTGTGCTCCTCCCTAGGGCAGGAGTGCCACGCTGCAGTCATGTGGGAGAGGCCCCAGTCTGGGGTCCTCAGCTGATCATGGACACGCTCTTGTCTTTGGAACATGAATAAGAACAAGTTTAAGGGACCTTCCAGGAAGCACTTGTGGAACCAAAATGAGGCTATCAGTGGCCTGAGATGATGGATGAGGCCTCCTCCAACACCCCAAAAGGGTAGAGCAGCCCCTCTGGATGGGAAGCTGGACAGGTGGAATCTGTGTCCAACCTCCCTGGTCTTCCCCAGCCCTGGGGCTCCCCTCTCTACCACCTGCCCCACATGCTGCCTCTTCCTGTTCCCAAACCGCATCCCAAATCATATATGCCAGATGTCTTTATAAGCAAAACTGTACAACCCCACTGAGTGTATTCTTTGTTGGTTTTTTTTTTTTGAAGGTGGTGTGGTACGTCTTTTTCTCTTCTTTTCCTCTTCTTTTCTCTTATGATTGGATGACTTTAGTGATGCGTTTGAATTCCTTTTTCTTTTGTGTGTGTTTATCTATGATAATAGACTTTTGGTTTGTTGTGACCCTGAGATTTTGATACAGCAGTCTATATATATACGTGCATGATTGTTTTAAGTTGCTGATCTCTTCCTTTCCAGTGCATTTCAAATATGCTGCATGTGCACTCTGCTCCTCTCATGATTACTGGTTTTGATATCATGTTTGTGTGTGTGCATGGCTTCCTACTCTTACTGTATGTTTGCCTTTACTGGTGAGCCCTCCCATTTCATCCTTTTCTTGTTTCTCATTGTGGTCTTTTCTTTTCAGCATAGAGAATTTCCTTTAAAGATAGAGCTGCTTTGGTGCTTCATTGTATGTGTTTGTAAAAGGTACATGTAATGTGATAAAAAGAAGGTTTTTCTAGAAGTGCTACTTTCAGTGCTTTGCAAAACGTCCATATTGCTCATCCTCAAGATGAGTCCACTAAACCTACTAGCAAATCATCGAACGAGCTGAGACATACATCTTTAAGTGAAGAAAATAAAAATCCAAAAGAAGCTGCTGTGAGTCTTACAAGCTAAAAAGTCCCAACAAGGGCTTCCCTGGTGGTCCAGTGATTGAAAATTGGCCTTGCAATGCAGGGGATGTGGGTTCGATCCCTGGTGAGGGAATTAAGATCCCAAGTGCTGTGGGGCAGCTAAGCCTACATGCCACAACTAGAGAGCCCATGAAACCTGACACAGCCAAATAAATAAATATTAAAAAAAAAAAAAGTCCAAATACATCCAGAAGGCCAGATATCTGGGAGTCCTCCCTCACCATGGAGAATCTCAGATGGACACAATGCATGCTGCCTGGCGACTGTGTCCTCACAGGAGGGTAACGATCCCAGAACAGCTTCGCTGGCACCCGGAGTCCGGGTCTAGAACTGACTGTATTTGTATCTCCCAGGTTAAAAAAAGGTTCATGCCAGAAATGGTGGGTTTGTTCCACCCCCTGGGCCAGGCCCCTAAGACAAAGTGGGCACGGCACGTGGGACCACCATGCTTTGGGGGCTGTGGAAATCTGTTCCATTTTGCCTAAAACAGACCAAAGGTGTTGATGCTTTGAAAGTCATTCAAAGGTCATTTTAATATTGCTAGCACCGTGGGACGGGCCCACATTAAGTCATTCAGCCCCTGCACACCCAAGGCAGGAAACCTAGAAAGAAATACTGTGTCTGGGTCCTTGACTAATTTTAATTTTCTACTCGTTGCTTGTCTGTACGTTCTAGGAGTTCTCTAAAGGAAGTTTAGCTCTGAGTCCTTGCAGTGCCCTAGAGACCCTTCCCCCCAGGCCCCTCTTGCTCCTCCTCAGCCACCCTGGCCCTCTTGCAGGCCCTCAGAAACCCCAGGCTCTCTCTGGCCTTGGGGACCATGCATGTGCTGATGCCTCTGCTTGGAGCCCTGTTCCCAGACAGACCACCTGACCCTCTCTCACCTCCTCAGTGCTTTACTCCTATGGCCCCTTGAGGTTGGGCACCCCTCTCCCAACAGGAGCTGTGTGTCCTGCCGCGGGTCTGCTCGTCCATCCCTGGAGTCAGGCCACGGGCGTCTAGTCCGTTTCACCCTCTGCCCTTGGCACCATCACTGGCAGGTGCGGGCACCCAGGGAGTGCTGGTGATGAACAAAGGCAGGATGAGGTTGGAATGGGGCGGGTTTGACAAGCCCGATGCTGTTATTGCATTCTGCCAACAATTTTGCTAGGATCCTCTAGGACTTTGGCAAAATTCTGCCCTCAAAATAGACACCCCCTTATGCAAGAAGAGGAGGAGATTCACCATCCTCTCTTTTTCACTCTGGGCCAAGAGGAAGGCAGAGGTGGGGGACTCAGCCTCTAGGCCACAGTCCTCCAAACAAGAAGGGGATGCCAGCACCAATGGGCGCAGAACGCCTGGGGAAAAGCTGGCTGCTGTGGGAGCCTCAGCCCTGGGAGAGCTGCCATGTTTCCAGCCCCTCAACCCAGGGTCCCAGAACTACAGACTGAGGCCCACGTTGTCACCATTGTCCCGGCCTCCCTACAACACCAGAGGCTGGGAAGGACTGTCCTCCCCACAACAGCCCCAGTAGCCATTAGCAATGAATGAAGACTTGGACCTGGAGAGGAAGAATGTTGAGTGGCCCAGAGACTGAGAAATGGGGGCCCACTGCAGTATACTCTTCCCAGTATCATATTGAACACCTTCTGATCTGCGGGTGGCGTGGAGTGGGGTGGGGCGCTCATTTGGTATCAAATCTTTTTGCCTTTGCATACTGTTCATGGGGTCCTCACGGCAAGAATACTGGGAGGAGTTACCATTTTCTCCTCCCGTGGACCATGTTTTGTCAGAACCCTTCACTATGTCCTGTCTGTCTTGGGTGGCCCTGTGTGGCATGACTCACAGCTTCACTGAGTTACACAAGCCCCTTCACCACAACAGGGCTGTGATCCATGAAGGCGCTCAGAAGGTATAAGTGCCATAATCATGATGCTGGAGATTCTTCTAGGTGGTTGTCAAACACCTCAGCAGAGGCAGTAGCTGGTGAGCGCTCCTTTGGTGGACTTTGCTTCTTGGGATTTGGTGGCTATTCCTTTTCATTCTTTCCGGATTCTGCAGAAAGAGAAACTGTAGGAGCGAGTCCTCGGAACACTCCTGCTTCTAGCAGCACAGTCTTCAGTACCCCGGCTCGTCTTTGCCGCAGTAGAAAGGAGGTCACCATAGCGGTGACTCGGGAGTGGGCTGGGTAATCGGCCTGGTGGATGGAGGTCACACCCTAAAACACACTCTCTTCACATCCAAGCTTTTTGAACAGTCGGAGTAATGGGACAGAGTGACACGCTGTCCCTGTGGTGGGATGGGGCCTGTCTGGGGAGGAAGAAACGAGCCTTGTCCCAGCCACCCCACGCCCGGCCCTTGGTTAAAGCTGCAAATTCTGCTCCTTTTTGGAAAGCAAGACTCTAGATGTTGGGCTCTCAGGTCATTTGGGCTAAAATGTACTCAATACTCAGACCCAGATGACACAGGAATTCTCTGTCAATTTAAATGCCATTCTCTCAGTAATAGAGGAAGTTTAAAAGTCCTTTATATCAATGATTTGGGAAAATAGGATTTGTGGGTCTTTAAAGATGTTTCCCCTTTTGCAACAGTCTTATAATTAGGAAAACTGCTGAGAAAGATGATATTAAACCATGTACGTGGTCTCCAATCTAAGCTGCAGGCAAATCAGAAAAGGAAGCACATTGCCCAGGTGTCAGGAAACCAAAACCGAGAGGGCCAGGAGTGCGGTGGAGGAGGTAATAGAATCATTCACTAATCAAAGCCATTGCTGTCCCCTCAGGCTTAGCTTCCAAGCCACTGCTGGAGGAAACAGGAGAGACAGGGGAGAAATGGCACAGAAGGGCCAGGCTAGTTGCTGCCCTGATTCTGGTCAGTTGTGTTTGAAGGAGGAGGAGGAACTTGCTGCTTTTGCAATAGGTTGCCAAGCTCCACATTTCTTCCCTGTGATCTTGACTTTCCACCGTGATCCCAATGAATCCGGTGGATCACCATGGAGTTTTTTAGACCCTCATCCTAACCCCTCCCAGTCTCTGGAAACCCTTCCACACCTGTGCGGTTGGCGCCCTCTGCAGGGTGGCTCAGCGACGTACCGGATCATCATGCCCTCGCCCCTGGAGCACAGGTGTGCTTTCCAGGCTCCCCTAAGGAAACTGGTCAAAGGAAGGTCTCAAAAGAAAACCTGGCAGGGAAAATGCATCGGGTGTCGGGGTGGGTGAGTTGGAGGAGGAGAGAGAGATGAAGAAAGGTTGTGAGGTGATGGCCAGGGCAGGACGGTGGTAGAAGCCAGCCCAAGGAATCACAGCAGACTTATGGAGGGGCCTCAGCCCTGATGACCCCTTTCCCCTGCCCAGCAGGTGGGGGCCCGTTCCTCCAACTCTGGGTCCCTTTTGTGTGTCCTGAGGCTTTAGTATCTTCCATCCCTCCAATCACTGGGACTCAGAACTGAAATAGAAACCCAAATCCCACTTTTCCACCTCGAGGACAGGTTAACCTGAAGCCCCTCTTAGGAAACTGGAATCAGAAAGTCAGAAGGCTTTAGCTCTAATGAAGGAAAAACGCGAGTCCTTTGGAGTCTCTGGCATTCATTCGCCCAGTGCTGTGCTGTGATCTGCCCTGACTGTGTGTCCTGCAGGGTGATAGAGACAGCTCTGGCCACTGATCAGCCCATGAAGCTAGGGACCCCTCTCCCTCTGGGCTCCAGCCACAGGGGAAGGTTTTGCGCCTGAGAGGGCTAGCCAAGGTGCCTGCCTGTGACGGTGGATTGGACCCACCTGAAGCAAATCTGTGGCCACCAGGTTTGTGAGGTGTGGGCCAGCATGTGACATGGCTCCTGGACCTCTCTCCCCGTGGGGTCCAGGAGCAGCAGCAGCTGGTGAGCAGCACATGGCAGCTGTCCAGACCTGCGGAACCAAAGCTTCCATGTGATCCGGTGCTCGAGATATGCACTGGCACGAGGCACGGTCGTTCACACCAGGCAGTGTCCTGAGATCTGATGTGGTCTCCTGTGTGTTTATGAGCAGTGTACTGCCCTCTCCTCTTCAGCAGTGCTTAATTCTAAAAGGTTCTCCTGACAATTTTTAACCCTAAGCCTGTCATGGAGCTTTATTCATTGTCTGACACCAGGATAGCAGAGATCGCTCCCAGCCCCGTGGCTCCATGGCATGCCCCATGTGACCATACGTGAGCCCGGGCCTGTGAGAGCACCGGCTGTGGGCCAAGTCGAGCCCGAGGGCAGTGGCCACCGTCATGGGGCAGGTGGGCTAACAGAAGTGCACGGTGAGCCCAGCGGGACCGCCCCGGGTGCTTTGGGGCAACCTCCTGTGGCATGAGGGGCTCCAGCCACGCTGAGTTCCAAGGTCAAGTCTCTCTGTAGAGTCTCAAAGCTGTCTAAGTAAAGATTAAACAAAAGAAATAAAAGAAAAAAAGAAATGCACACTGTGTAGAAGACTGTTTTGAGAAAAAGGTGTAGATCTGGGCTGGAAGGAGACACGGGGCAAAAGTGACCCAGGGCGCTCCCTATCCTCCGTGAACCGCCCTGCAACCGTGACAGCGACACACGCAGCCAGGGCAGGCCCAAGTGTGATTCTGACGGCGGAAATGTCGCCAGGTGGAGGGGCTCTGGCTGCCTGGACCCGTGAAGGACCGTGTGGCGCAGGCCCCCTGCGCAGGCTCCCAGGGAAGGGGTGGAGGCCCCTGTCCCACGGATCCCCACTGCAGACCAGCACCAGGAGGCCCCTCTTCCAGCAGAAGGCAGGGCAGTCGAGGGGAGACCAGGTCAGGTGCACATGTTCACAGGGGGTCACCCGCACACCAGTCTCCCTCACCGTGAGCAGACCCTCAGACCAGGCCCCCCAGGCATGCTGACTCAGACCTGCCAACAAGGGGCCCAGTTCAGAATGGTATTCCCCCACCCTCCTCCACCTGAAA